AACCATCTGCTAACAAACATATTTTTTATCTATGATATCTCTTTTTGTAAGATTGTATGTATCTATAAGTGCTAAAAATTAATTTTATTAAAATGTGTAAAATAAATTAAATTTAAAAAAAATCATTTAACATTTTGTTAATAAATATCTAGATTCACAGCATTTCAAACAATTCTAATAAAATATTTAAAAATAGAGACTTTTAGCACTTTTTGTAATAAATTGACTAGATGCACTAAAGGCAGGCAGGCAGGCAGGCAGCGTATTAATTAATTTAATTTAATTATATAAATTATTGAAAATATAAATTAAATAAATTAGAGCAGTTAAAAACAAATACAAAATATTTACCATCGATAACAATAAATTAGAGATTTATTAATAATAATAGAATTCAGTTTTTATTTAGTTTAATACTGGTTTAGCACAGGTTTAACTTGCTAATGGCGCCACATCCGCGTCATATACACAATATATAAATTGATATTTTAATATATATATATATATATATGTGTGTGTGTATGTACGATAAAAAGATATGTAAATTCGTTAAGATAAAATTTTTTTAAATCGATTTTAGAATACATAATTTTGAACAATTCACATATTAAGTAATTTTGCTTGAAGTTAAATGGAAAATTGAGGAGAGCCAACATTTTCTTTACGAATTATTCTATTTTTCAGAATTATTAATGATGAAAATGATCTAAAGTGCAACAGGCGTACAAAATTTAGCAACAAGCAAATATTTTGGCTAAGTTGGTTCAAAATCTTTGAAATAACAAACAAAAATTATATATAATTAATATCATTCAAAACTCAGCAATACACTAAACTAAATATACAAAATATACAATAAAGGACCTTGAAATTATAAATGCCGCATAAAATGTATATATGCTGCTTATATTATTTGCATATCAAATGTAGCATGCGGACAGTAGTGTACTGTCCATAGAGTGCATAAGTATGCTATAATCATTCAAAATATTTGCTCGTTGTATGGTTCAAATACGTACCGCTTCGAATACCTTGACAAGATCGTTTAAAAAATCCACAATACACAACGGAGAAGTATATAAACAACAATAATGATGTAGGCATTTAAAATCCAAATTTGTTTTTCGAAACTAAAGTTGTTTGAAATACCGTAAGTAAAAAAAAAAACACCCCTTCCGAATCGATCGATTTTCGAATAGGCGCACAACATTAAAAGGCAGTTGCTCATTTTTTAAATTTGAAAATTTCAAGATCTATGTTACGCATAGATCGTTGCTTTTTCAGTGACATTTCATAGCTATGTAATGCGTTTATACGCACTTCACGTACGCACCACGCACATTCGCACATTTATAACCATTTATTGGTTATGAGTAAATGGAACTACTTCACCAGGCGCACAACAACTCGAGGAACACGATAAAGCAAAGGGCCCAACTATTGTAGATTGTTTGCTCATAGATTGCTCACCGAACACAACATACAGAAATCAAAGAGCAGTGCAATGTCGAAAAAACACGTTAGAGAAAAATGCGTGGTTCGAGTTTTTATGCTTCGAAACATGCGTTTAGAGCTGTGCCGGCTTTTGGCTTCATAAACACTGCTTCACTCATGCACGAGTGTCTTGACGCGGGTCATAGTTTCGTCAGAAACGCAATATTAATGTATTTCTTGCGTGCTGGTTTATGACTCTTCATCATTGTTTATGTTGCATTTCCCATAAAAATGTATATAAGTCAACAAACGAACGAACCGTTGGAGACAGTGCCGTTTTCTGATAACAAAAAGTTACTACAGATAAATTTAAATCATACGATTCTATAGAATGTAAGCTACTATATAAGACATTACACATATATAAGTTATATAACATAGATAGTACAATAAAGTGTGTTATAGTGGGATAATTTTGGATCTGTTATTTAGTAAGTTGATATGTAAAGATTCTTATCTTTTCTAAATCGTTGAAATCTTTAATTATCTATTTATTATAAACTATATCAACCCCAAAGAAAATATGTTGTTGAAAGTACTTATATTTCTAAAAACCACAATACAGTCTCTTCATGCTAAAGTATATTCTAAAAATTCTTTTATTTAAACAGAAAGGAGGAGCTCTATTACCAGGAAAAAATTCTCCCTTATATGGATATAAAAATCTAATGGTAGTATAAATAAATGTATGCGTGTTGGTATATATATTTAACTAGTGTTAACGGCTAAATGTTATACACACAATTTCAAGAAGTTTACAGTTTTTACTGGTTTTAAGCAGTCTTCAATTGGTGTCAGGTTTTGAAGAGGTGACATGTGTTGTGTGTGCTTATAATACATGCAACCTAAAGCGTTTGTTCCAATTGTTATTGCAGTCAATTACCATATAATATTAAATTCACACGAATTAAAATATAAGTTTATGTTTGAATATTGGATTAAACATATTTAATGATATAACTCTACAGATCTAACAGTTTAGCATTAACACCAACCAAATCTGAATTGGTGTACTGTAGTAGGAGCTCTTTTTAAAGAAGTAAAAATTCTATATATTCCTTTACTTTCATCACTTCAAACATAGTTTTCATCGAATGTCTCCTTTCTAATGACAACTAGGTCATATCATTTGAACTGCTCCATAAGTAATTTGCTAAACAATGTCAATGCCACGATAATACTCATACAGTTCATGTGGGTGTCATATTGATAGGTATATTATAATCGTTGCGAACTCGTAGAGGTCCAACGGCCTTTTTTTCCAGTGCTGTTTTATTATACTGTTATAAATTATGTTTTAAAAATTCAATCTGTATTTTAGTGCAATACAGAATGAGTATTCTCTAGAGTGAATGCAAGTTTTGTATGTTGAGAATGTATTTGGAGTTCCAGTTACCTACTGAACCTATAGCAGCCCATATTATAGGCAACTGTGATTTTTTATAATTTTTATTCCACTTGTGAAGCAGAATAGGTTTATGAGAAAATTTTTAGGTAGATCTATGAAATGTTTTCAGACCAACTTCTGAATATATTTCT